CGTACAAACAGGAGAAGCAGCGCAAGTGAAATTAGACACTGCCGTTTGACAACATGCAGTAATTTATAAATGTTTTTGATCAGGCTGGGTCCGGATTAGCCAGCAGGTGGGTCCAGATTGGGACCGCGGTCAGCCAATCCCTGACCTCTGCTATAGACATATCTCTTCTTTTGGCCAGTTTATTATACCAGCGGGGTATCTGATGACTGGCAGGGCATATGTGTTGATGGCTTGGAGCTTGTTTTTCCCATTCACTTTTCAGGACCTGCCTTACTCTTTGTAGGTATTTAGCTGTGGCAGTCTTTCTTGCTATCTCCGGAGATATATATATATATATATATATATATATATATATATATATATATATATATATATATATATATATATATATATATATATCTCCGGGTTATATATGTAAATATGATTATTACTTCTTATTGTTAAACTCTGTTAATCAATCTACTGTGGACTGAAATTATTAGTTCCCAAACACCAATGTGTCATTCCCTTGGCCACTTCTGTTGACATTTTCTCCTCCGGTCAGATCTCTCTTAGATATATTGTGTTCTGTGTTGGTCAATGAACCCTCTGTGCCTGCAATAAGGAGCCCCAACAGAACCCTTAAGCTCACCTCGATTGCTCACTCAATGAAACATTAGATGCTGCAGCAAAATTAATGCATCTTAAATTAAATGAGAACACTGAAAAGGTTTCCTAATAAAAGAAAAAGAGGAGAGTTTCTTAAGCCAAACATCGATCTGTGTAGGAGTTGGGCAGCGTGCTTTATTAACTTTGCAGAGGACCTTCCCCATGGACCTAACTGTAGACAAACACAACTGAGGTGTCAGCAGGTATAAAATGTGCTTAGATGGATTTCTGAGCTTTGTAAATACCTTACCTCTGAGCTTGGTATATAGCTAAGATCAGCTCCTCAGGCTGGCAGGATAGCTTATTTTTATTAATTATGGCTTAAAGAGGATAGCTTACAGAAAAACTCCGAGGTAAAGTTCACGTTTTTATTGATCCAATAAATAGTTATATAGACATACACAATGCATTCATCATTTGCTTTTGAAAAAAACATCTTAAAGCTTGTAATTTCTTTTCAGTCTCCTTAATTCTAATACAGCAACATAAATCAAATCCTCTGAAGCTAATTGATGTATATTTGGATGTATGCATAAAAAACAGCTGGTTTATCAAAGCTTTGGATGTTTGCTGGAGCGCATAATTTAATAAACACCATCACCAATTCAAAAAGAATATCAAGAACGTCAAGAAAATTCTAGAAAGCTGTAAAATGGTTAGATTTTAGATAAAAATCTAAAGCTTTAAGGTTCTTTATCTTTCATACATATTACAATATAATGGCACAACTGTATACAGAAAGATTTATAGTAGTTGCCCACCTATAGAAACAGGCCATACTCTGTTTATTTACAGCATGTAAGAGAATTTGACACATATTAGTTGTGCAATCCACACAGCAGTTTATGTGGTAGGAAAAAGGCCTGCCAGAATTTGCCAAAATTCATGTAAAGGTATAAAAATTAAGCAGCATATTCTGGTTAAAATGCAATCTTGCATATGGAAATATGCACTAAGACTCACTTAGAACACCAGATACCCTGTGTAAGACACAAAGGTAAACAGCCCACATATTCTATCCCTGCAACTTAAGAACTATGCACTTTGTCTATCACATGAAATCCCGATAGGTTTATAATTGCAAGATCACAAAATGCAAACAAAAATTTCAAAGGGTGCTGTAACAAGGCTCTTATAAGACACTGTACATTATTCATGAAGTCAGTTGTGTTAATTGATAAGATGTTCCCTTTTTAAAACAGGAAAGAGGTTTAGAATGCCCATTTGATCTAATTAAAGTTTAAATAATTTATTTTATATCATTCCAGTGTTCAATTTGGCAAAACATAATCAAGAAGATTGATTTAAAAAAGGAGGAGTGAATAAATATTGTCCAGAGGAGATAAATGAAATTAATAGCAGCATACTATCAGTATTAACAGAGGGGGGTTCCTTAATGTAAAACATGGTGGCACACTGTGCTTGTCTATGGAGAGTATAACATTTTCTCAATAAAATAACAAACATTATTCATGCAAGGCTGGAAAAACTCTGAAAACATAATGACAGGTATTGTTGATAAGAGATCCAGTAGCACAATGCCAGTTTTTGAGCTAATTAAAATGTTGAAGTTGCAGTTCACTAAAAATAGCACATGCTAGCGAGGTCCATCAATTTAATTCCCCCTCAGGGGACAGCTTTTACATTGCTTTGTGGGAATAATGTTCTTCCGCTGGATGGGGAAACAACACAATTCCAATAAAACACAGGCGAAAATTCAAGGAGATCGTGTGGAGTGGAATGTAGAATTTCATACTAAAGAATATATGGATGCAATACTCTTTTTATAGATTCAGAAAGAAAATAGTAGAACAACTTTATTATCTGTCATCAATCTTTGTAAATAATAAATGTTCTTATTATATTTCTATAATTTATCTACAGATAAAGAAAATCTCCACTACTGTTCAGCATATATCTCTGATTTTGTTTTATTTCTCTAATGTTTATGTACATATTAGATACGCAAACATTACAGAAAACAAATATCTAGAGACAATAGAGGGCTATAACACAATGGAGGTTTGGCATCCAGCTAACAAGGATAATGAGTTTGTCAATTACAGCACGGAAACTACAAATGCTGGATGATGAGGCTCCTTTAGAAACCATTGTTTCTATCCCACAGATGGTCTATTATGAGGGATGACTTTATTTGGTCGTTTGTTATTCTAGTTCATGCCAGCTTCTTAGTAAAGCCAAGGTAAACTGGTGCACAGAAAGGACAAAGTGTTGATGGTCACCTGCAGAGATCCTTTTAGCCTCTATTGCCTAGACCAACCGGGGCGATCTACAAGCAATTCTAAACAAGGCTCAACCTTTGCCCAGGTGTCAGTCCAAATAAACTGGTAGAGAAAAGTGTTTTGTACACATAGGTAGGAGATAAGACAGGGGCATGGATGAGAAAAGTCGGGAAAGAGGGCAACTAAAAAAGCACTGAAAATAATTTCCTATTTTTAAGAAAAGAAAAATTTAGCGAAAATGGACCCTAAATTACATTATAACAACAGAGATCAGTTTTTGTTTCTTTATGGTTGAAATTGGAGCAACATACTTAGCAGCTTTTGCCTTTGGCAAGAGGAGCAGAGACCTAAAGAATTCCATGTGGATAAAGTTCTAGTAAACTATGTTACTGAACACAATAAGAAAACTACTAAAAACACAAAGATTAATGACTCTACCAATAATGAGGGCATCTGAAATACAGACGCGTTTGAGGACCAAGGTTTACCAAAGTTTGAAACAGTTACATATCTTTCATTTCTATTCATACCATGCTTAAGATTGGCATTTTCTCCAGATTCACTATTTAAATCGATTCCGAAGTATCATATTACAATAATACTTAGGTGTAACTCTGTAAGGGTAGACAGGGAAAAAAGTACAGTTACAGTAATACATTGATATATACAGATATTGCATCATGTATCAATATTGCAATGTTTCCCTTTAAATGTTGATAGGAATTATTTATCATTCTTTATTATTTATAATAAGGAATCCTAATTGACAATATCAAATACACAAGACTGACAATTTTTTTTCTTTTCGTTTTTTTTTTCCTCCCAGCTAGTAAACATTTTATAGTAGGATAAAATGTACTGATTTTATTTTGTGCAGTAATAAACACTAAACATCCTAATGTAACTTTTTTGTTTTAAAATTAAACGAATGTGATCCGGATACAGATATCTTTTAAACATGTTCAGCTGCTGACATGAAAATATTCTCCATACTCCAGGTTACTATCAGAATCTCACAGTGGCATGTTTCTTGTTTTTCAAACCAAAGGCAAAACTGTATGAAATGAATTAAACATAGCAATTTTCCACAAGTACAGACCTGTGTTCTATCACCTACATTCAAGTGAATACAAGTTTTACTGGAAACAACATACGTAAAATATATCATTGCTCCAGTGCCTCTTCCTTCCCTCTATCTCTAACATATTTGGCAGCAAATTAAGCTCTGAGCTTTCATCAAAGACACATGATTATTTTCCAAGCAGTTTGGTATAAAAACTTAGAACAAGAATCTCTGTGGAGGAAGAGAAGAAGCGGTGAAAGATTAGGGAGGAAGCTCAGAGATGTTTTTAAAGATGAGGCATATGATTTGAAATGGATACAAGGAGAATTTCTTAAAGCTGAGATGGTTAAAGCATTTTTTTATTGCAGATAATTATAGCTCGCCTACATATTTCTTGTTGTGTATATACTCTTGGGTTTGGCTGTCTCTGAACAAACAGCCAAAGAAGATAGGTTTGCGTGAGATGAGGCGACCTCTCCATAGTCTTAGCTGTTAAGGTGAAATAGGTGAATGGATGCCAGATCAATAAAACAATATCCACAAATCACTGTTTTGTTTAGCAAATGCTGATGAAACCATTTGGTTTTCCATAAAGATATGAAATTGAAATGTCACATATGGCCAGGGTTTGATCAATATCCTAAGTAATGCTATAGGGTCTTTGTTGATGTCCTCACCCTGAATATATACTCTTTCATTTTATATTGAAACAAAACACTACGCAGCCATAATCTAAAATTGTTAATCTGATAAAAGTGCTTCCAATCTTGATGTTTATTTACTGCTAATAGGGGCACTTTGTGTTTAACATGAACATGATTTAAAGGTCGCAGCAACTAAGTATGAGCACCTAACCTATTCCTTCTCTTCTGAGATCCTCGTAACCCAAAATAAATGGTAAAAAAGTTATTTTTTTTAGAGTTAAGCACATATAACCAAATGCACCTGGCATTAAAATATCTTTACATGTTTTAAATAATGACTTGCATTTTGGCATAAAATACAGAGACTAAAGTAGACAAGCAGCCGCAGAAATCAGAACTTACAATATACGTCCACTCGGATGGACTTGATAGCTGGAGAACCAAGGCCATTCTCCGCCTTGCAGTAATAACGACCCCCCTGTGTCCTCTGAATCTTTGCAATGTGCAATGTATCGTTGAACACACTGGAGTCCTGGAAGCGATCTGACACGCTGCCAGCTGTCTTCGTCCATCGGATCTGAGAGGGAAAAGAGCAACAGAAATCATTTCCAAAATCTATTTGAAGTACTTATCTTCTGTTACAGAGGTTAAGTAGTTCATCAAGGACACAAATGAAATTTTGGGTAAACAAATGAGACCTAGAAAATTATTTTAAACCTTTTTTTTTTTCAAGTTTTGATTGTATTACTTGATGATGGTAAGGCCACGCAAGTAAAAAAAAGTTCACAATATAATATATACAGATCAAGGATCTAAGAGAACACCTATAACTTGTACCTCGGTTATATTATGTTTTAGTACTTTTTTTGCAATGTTTTGTTTGATGCAAAGAAATGTAGAAATATTGCAAAATGACTTCCCTTAAAATTTAACAAAAGATCAGTTTTGTCTCAATATGATTTAATTTATCAGCTCTAGTAACTGTTGCCTGGATACATCTAAATTGAGGTGTAATTCAAACTTGTCAAATTACACATTATTACACACACACACACACACACACACACACACACACACACACACACACACACACACACACACACACACACACACACACACACACACACACACACACAAGAAAACACTTGAAAAGGATTTATTTTGTTGTTTTCTTTTATTTATCGGCTACATTTTAAACAATTGAAAATGCTTTAGGGGAGTAAAAAAACTGGGAATAGCCAAATCAGAAGCAGCTTAGTGGGTCTGACCACCACAGCTTCATCAATGTTAACATGATGAAGAGCAACTAATATCCCAATCAGTTAAAAAATGCAGCATTGCTCTTGAAAATGGTGTATTCTGACACCCATCCACCCAATGATGGTTTTATGTTGATGAAACTTCACCAAGCTAGTTGTTGCTAGCTGACCAAGCAGGCAGTCAGACACCCTAAGGAAGACAAGTCACTGTCTGGGATCTGCCAATGGGGGTGCAGGACAAACCCACTGATGATGACTGGTCAACACGGACATTCAGGTTCAAAGTGTTATCATGAAATTCAAAAGGCAATGGGGGAAAACATTTTTATGATATAAAACCTGACTTTTTGATGGCAGATTTTTAAAGAAAAACTGCAATGACTAAAAAAATAAATATATTATTGGGATACATTTTCAAATGTAATACAATTTTTTATTATTATAAAATAAATTCATAGTAATGCTCTGAAAATTTTAGCTGCATTGGATTATTTCACATTTTCATTGCCACATTTAAAATATTTATGTATTATTTATTCGAGTAGATCTTGATTTCATACAAATTTTTAGATTTATTTAAATTTTGAGCCTTTTGGCTTTCCATACAGCTATGGATTTAGGCAGCACTTTGCCCACACTACATCCAATATTCATTATTAAAAATAAGCAAGGATATGGTAAAAACTAACCTTGCCAGTGAGTTCCATTCTCACGGTATCTGTGCATTCAAAAACACAAAAGTTAATCTCATCCAGTCCCGCTTTTACCTTTCAAAACAGAATCCAAATGGGCCAACTAATCACATTGCATTGTCATGTCTAAGGGCGGGATATAGAGCTGTGATAAAGGCAGAAGCTGCAAAACCCACAAACGAATCATAATAAGCAGGGCAGCCAAGGAGGACATATGCACAGCTGCTGCCATCACATCGGTTTTGTCAGAATTCAGAATTTAACCTTTAAAAGAGAAACAGCATGAGCATAAAAGCCTAAACTGTTGTGGGTTATCATAGTGTCTGCTCCTGTGTAATTTGTTTGGCTCTTTCCTCACTCCAAGCAAATACAATCATAGAAGTCCCAAATTGATACAGTAATATGTAACACTAAATCTGAATGCTACACATGATCAGTCTGGCTGTGTTTTCTCCAACCCTAATAAAAACTTGAGACAGAAACAAAGGCTGAAACAAAAACTTAAAGATTGGCTGTATTCTTAATCTTAACCTTTCAAAACTTAATCTTATAAGACCTTGTATGACCATATGATGTTGTCTTGGTCAGCTAAGTGTATTGCATACAATATAACTTTGTACATCCCCAGAAGTTCACAATGAATAGATTAAAATATGCTGGAAGAATATGTATGGTATAGCTTTTCTAAAAAAAAAAAACTGCTTGGCTTTTGACAAGGAGCACAAGTGCTCCCAAACGAAGCAAAAAAAAACAAAAACAAAAAAAAAGGAGCAGCAAACAAAAAATGAGGGGTATTATGGATTTTATTGAATAGCACAATTTTATTTTTAAATGTAAATGAACATGGGTAATAATTTGTGTTTAGTCATTTTTCGAATTTGAGCTTACAGTCACAAACATCGAATTACATGACTGCTGTTGGGAGCTGGAGAAATTCCATCTTTCTCCAGCAGAGTCCGCCGTGGATCCTCCTGAGTGAGCCTTCTGCACAGCTGCAGCCCATCAGATCTTTAGAGGATCCACTACTTAAGCTGTCTTCAGACCTTGCCTCAACGCCGCAGTGTTGATCCAGTTGGTCAGCGCCTAAGCCTAGACTCTCAGTGAATCTTTGTGACTTTTGAATCCAGCCTGGATTCTAACCCTTGTCTATGTCTTCCAGGAAACCAGTTTCTCCTCTGTGGAGCTCAGGAAGAGCTAACCTGCCGAGCCTACCCTCAGAGCCAAACCTGAAGAACCTCAGTGAACTTCCATGCAGCTCAGGACTAAGAGCTGGAAAACTCAAAGCCAAGGTCTGCTCAAAAATAGAAGTAAGACGCTGAAGCAGCTTGCGGACTCTGCTGATAAACTCCTCTCCAGATCCAACAGTGACCCTCTCAAAGCTATCTACAAGAACCTTCAAGGTACAATCTGTAACAATCAAGAAAGCAAGCTCCAAAGTGCAACGCTAACTGAACTGTCTCTTACGCAGACTCCGGTGAACCAGTTTCCAGGCCCGAACCAGAACCAGTCATATCAGTGTTCTTGTGACCAAATAAACTTTTTAAACCTTTACTCCTGTGTCCGTCTAGTGGTGTTCTGCATAATTGGGTCACTCTCCGTGCACCCATCATGACAACTGCCCTTTGCAATATAAGGTTGTCCTCAAACTAAAGGCAAAAGTTGGATCCAAAATCATTTAAACCAATAACAGTGTTAGTCATTTTGCTTAAAATCATTAAAAAACAAAATACTAAAGGCTTTTCTTGTTTGCCGACATCTCCCATTAGAAAAAAAAATACAGATTGCTTATCCTCATCTACATAATCATTTATAGAGGAATTACCTTAACCGTTGCTTTCCTAAGATTTTTTTTTCTCTTACAGATAATACAGCTATCAGAACGAATGATGTTAAAAAAGATAATGTTCAGACTTCATAGGTCAATGCGTCATGCTGCACGGTTGCTAAGCAACCAAAGTTATGCTGAGGTGAGCGTGCAGGACTGCTACTTAGGGCTAGACTGTCCTAGTCGCAGCTTATCACTACTAGCCTTAATTTTCAGAGCGTCTTTGCTAATGTTCAATGAAGACACAGAGGAGTCTCTCTCCTCCATCTGACTGCAGAAGTGGGCTGAAGTTGCAGTGTTTTGCAGGAGGGAGGGGCTCGCTCGCTCACTACTTGCTGAAGACACTAAACTCCGAGCTTTTAGTGCATGTGTAGTCACCAAAGTCTCCAACAAGACAGGAAATGGTTTCTAGATTTTGTCACTAGTCATTTAAACACATCAAAAAACAAATGTGAGAAATTGCTAAATATACTGACTTTACACAGTACTGTCCTGCCTCAGTGAACTGATGGCAGTCCGGCGCAGGGTTTTATAGCGCTTCCTTCATGATTATCTGGCAGGGAGGAGGAAAATGTGTTTAAAAAACTGTTTCTGTGGCCATTATGCTAATTAAAATTAAGAGTATCGGCACATTTTCATTGTATCTCTAAACATTTTAACATAAGCGTTGAGGTGGGAGCTTTTGTTTAAGCTTGCTCTCTGCTATAATGAGGTTGATGTGTTTAAAAACACAATTTCAACGACTGTTATGCTCATCTACTGTAAGTTAGGGTATCGGCAGGTTGGGTTCTCTCTCTGCTGGAATTTCAGGGAGCCTGCCTTCCATTATGATGAGAACAGTAAATCCGAGCTTACACCGTATGATTATTTTGTCAGTCGTGCAAGAATTTTTCGATCGAGCCGACTTTCAGCCTGATCGTGCGTTGTGTAGAGTACAGGGGGTAACGAGGGGTGATCAGCCTCTCACGACCACCTGATCAGGACTTGTGAGGTTGGGGGAAAATCAGACATGTTTGATTTTCAGTCGGTCGTCATGGTGCAAACAAAAATTCCTCTTCTTCCTCTCAGATGAAAACACAAAGGCATGGCGAGGATGCGAGTGAAATTAGGTTCTTTCTTTAATATTGACAGACCATAGTAGCCACGTTTGCTCAGCCATGTCTTCGTCCAGATACGTCGTCACTTTTTCTTTTTAAGGCTTTCAGCACTAAATTGCACAAATTGCCAAGGCAGCACGTTTCTTTCTAGTGAGCTTCATATTCCTCTTCTATTCGTTTGGCTTCTAGATAGATGAGTCCCAGTAGTGCCATCTCACTCCGAAGTTAAGTCCGATGTTGTTTTTAGACGTACAGTGTGAGCAGGTAGATTGCATCAGAGCGTCGGGTCACACAGTGTGAGAATATACATCGTGAGCTGTGAACTCAAACTATTGTGACAAACTGGTTGTCGCTGCCAGAAATCTGTAAGGTAAATGAGATGTCTCCTAACCAGATCCTTAAGTATTCTTGCCATACAAATTTAAACATTTTACTTTTTGGAACTGGTTTCCGTTAGATATCTATTCGTCTTTTAAAAAAAAAAAAAAAACTAAGTTAAATCCTGCCTGACTTATTTTAGGAGGGGAGAAATCTGCACATGCACGAACAAGTGTTGCTATTTTTTTCCCCCCTATTTGCACAAATTTATTTGGGAGCGAATGCAAATAAAACACTTGCCCTGTACAGCCCTGCCTTGTTAAGATTTGTACAAAACATTTACTTTTTTTTTTTTTATCAAAATCTTGTTTTGTTACTCAGATGTT